TGTTGCTGTTGCTGTTGCCGTTTCTGTTGTTGTTGGCTCCGACACAACGTAAACGCGCAAAATCGATATGTCGAGTCCATGGGTGTTTACGGTGTTTCCCTGACTTCAGGAGCCGAATATATCGGTGCCGTCGGTGTTCCTGGCGCCTCCAAAATCGCGAAATCTGCACGTGCCGATAAGGCCCCAGAAAAACACATAAGCAAAAATTAGGATAGCAATATCCCATTTAAACGCCCGCTATCGAAGCCCAACAAGGTAGGGATATCCCCTATCAACGTGTTTATGCTTATGTTCGTTTTAGGTCCCTGAGCCGCATCGGTCGGTATTTACGGCGGTTCCTTTGCTCGCACTGCCGAAACCACCGGTATTTGCGATGTTTCCCAGAGCATCCATGTGGCAACCATGTTAACGTCCACACAGATTCCGTCCGTTCCAACAGAGCATCCATGTGGCAACCATGTTAACATCCAAACAGACTCCGTCCGTTCCCACAGTGTAATGGGCATGCGGCAGCAGCAGTACGTAGCACGACGGTGAAGCAACTGTGACAGCAATGAGCAACCAAGCGTTGTTAAGCCCCCCCTCCCTCCCATCCCAACCCCCAAACCTGAAAATCTGCAAAAACCATGCGGTCACCCGTAACGCCGCAAGCAAAAACCTGATTAAAAAACCCTAAACCCTAAAACCCGAAAAACCTGCTTAGAAACCCCTAAACCCTAAACCCGAAAAACTTGCTTAAACAGCCCGAAGCCCTAAACCCGAAAAACCTGCTCAAAAACCCCTAAACCCGAAAACCTATACCCCTAAACCCTCAACCTTAATCCCTAAACCCTAGACCCCCAAACCCTAAACCCTAAAACCTAAGGAAACTGGGAGTCCCAGTGGCACTGGCATTTGAGGCTCAGGGGATGGCGTCTGGAAACGCATACCTGCCCAGACAGCCCAATACCCCTTTATTGAGGTGTAGGGTTTAGGGATTAGGGTTTAGGATTTGGTGGCCCTTAATTAAGGAATATAGCCTTGAATCAGGGTTCCTTCAAAGGCTTCTTTAAGAGGAGTTTATAGGGCTTTGGGCTTAGTTAGGGGGTTTAGGGCTTCGGGGGCTAGGGTTTAGGGTTGAGGCTTTAGGGTTTCGGGTTTAGGACATGTCTTAACTACAAGGTACCCCCTCAAAACCCTATTCTAATCATTAAGCCGCCTATATTGGTCTAGAACCCCAGACACCCCAATACCCCTTAATTAAGGAATGTAGCTTAAGAGTGAGGCCTGCTGCACAGCTTTAGGCTAGTACTTTAGGGTATCAAGCCACACAGACAAAACTGAGAGCATCCGTGTGGCGACGGCACACGTCGTCCGGCGTGAGCCCAAACGAAATCCACACCAGCGTGTTGAGCTCTTCACGGGTACAGCGGCCCAGCATGGTCTTGGTGTGGGCACACTTGTCGACAGTCCACAGCCATTCGACCATGTGATGCTCCTGCAGCCACTCGAAGCTTTCCCATGCTACCGAAGCTTATTGAGGAGCACGGTTGGGCCGAGGCGCGGCAGCTATCAGAAGAGTGAAAGCGAGCTGGAATTCAGGTGCGGCACAGGCAGCAAGCGCAGGCTTGTGTAGGAACCTGAGTACATCTTCACGGTAGTCTTTCGTGGACCCCGCGAGGAAGAGATGTCCGCGATCTTGCCAAAAACCCACAAGGGTTCAGTTAAGAGTTGCCGCATGGCTTACCACAAGGGTATAACAAAGGGGCGATAGTCTTTAGAATAGGGTTTCAATGTACAAGACTGGAAGTAGTAAGGAGCCCATTGGTAAGTATACCAGATTCTACATTGAACAGCTTTTTGGATTCCGAGCTTTAGGATGCCCAGGGGTGTAGGGCTTAGGGGTTTCAGGGTTCTGGGGGGGTGTTTAGAAGGGCGCAGGGTAAGGCTTTAGGGTTTAACATCGACCCCTCTGTCAGGGTTTAGGGTTTAGGGTTTTAGGGTTTAGGGTTTAGGGTTTAGGGTTTAGGGTTTGAGGTTTTGCTGTTTAGGACAACAGCTTTTGCTCCTCAGTCAAGGAAGCTATCGAACTTGTTTCGGTTCGGCAAAGCTTTCCGAAACAACTTCGGAGTCTACTTGGGTTTAGGTTGCTGGCGGTGAACTTGGGATCCAGGCTTTAGGGCCTAAGGGTTTGGGGTTCTCTAAACCCTACACCCTAAACCCAATTTTTAAACCCTAGGGCCCGAAAGTTTAGGGTTTTGGACTGAGGGTTCCGTGAACTTGGAACGCAGGGGGCATGCAGGAGAGCAGAACACCCCCAAAGAGTCAGGAGCCCCTTGTTGCTAAGTTTAGGGTTTAGGGTTAGTTTAGGGTTTAGGGTTTAGGGTTAGTTTAGGTTTAGGGTTTAGGGCTAGTTTAGGATTTAGGGAGATGTACGGGTCTGTGCAAACTCTAAAGGCTTTCCAAAGGCCCCTGCAAAGCCCAGAAGTCTGATCCTTTTAAGGCTTGGGTCGAACGCCCCGGCGTAAACAAATCCGCTAAACCCCAAACCCTAAACCCCTAAACCCTGTAAACCCAAAAAACCCAGACCCACCCACACATAAGATTACGTAAGCCCGATGATTGGGGGCGCATCATGGAGTTTCGGGGCAGCATGGCCTGAGCTACACGAGTCAAGCTGCTATGGGGCTTTGGGTAGACTTATTATACTTACAATAAGAAGCCCCCCCCCCCCCCCAACAAAGTTGACGTGAACACCCGAAGGGGTCGGGATCCATCTAAACGACTCAAGAGCTTGAAATCCCTAAACCCTAAACCCTAAACTACCCTAAAACCCTAGAACCCTAAACCCTAAACCCTGCCTGTGTTAGGAGTTTGAACTTCATCCTCCTCTTTCGCCGGATGACATCCTCGCGGTTGTGCCTCGAAAGTGTTGGGAGATCTCGGGCTCAACTTCAATGGGTTTAAGGT